TAGTATACGCAAATGACTGGGTCAAAGAGTACGGCCCGAGGCTAGTCAAGACATCGAGTGGCCATACGTACGTGGACACCAAGATGAGCAGGTTATTGGGTGTGCCTCCGATTATGGTGGCCGGTATGACGCCAGCCACTGTCCCGTGGGATTTCGTTGCAGCAACCATGAACGCTGGCTACCATATCGAATTAGCCGGTGGTGGTTACTATAACGGCAAGACCATGACTGAGGCACTGTCCAAGATCGAAAAGGCCATCCCGGCCGGACGAGGAATTACGATCAACTTGATCTACGTCAACCCCCGTGCTATGGGTTGGCAAATCCCCTTGATCGGCCGGCTCCGTTCCGAGGGTGTTCCTATCGAAGGCTTGACTATCGGTGCGGGTGTTCCCTCGATCGAAGTTGCCCAAGAGTATATAGAAACTCTTGGGCTCAAACACATCGCCTTCAAGCCAGGCTCTATGGAAGCAATCCAGGCTGTTATCAATATTGCTAAGGCAAACCCGACCTTCCCTGTCATCCTACAATGGACTGGCGGTCGAGGAGGAGGTCATCACTCGTTCGAGGACTTCCATCAGCCCATCTTACAGATGTATCCGCGTATTCGACGGTCGGAGAACATTATTCTTGTCGCTGGCAGCGGCTTTGGTGGAGCTGAGGACACATATCCATACCTTACCGGTGAATGGTCTAAGAAGTTTGGCTACCCACCGATGCCCTTCGATGGTTGCCTCTTTGGTAGTCGTATGATGGTCGCTAAGGAAGCGCACACGAGCAGGGATGCCAAGCAAGCCATCGTAGACGCCGAGGGACTTGACGACGAGGAGTGGGAGAAGACCTATAAGGGCCCGGCTGGTGGTGTTATCACTGTCCGATCGGAGATGGGTGAGCCCATTCACAAACTTGCAACCAGGGGTGTTAGGTTCTGGGCAGAAATGGACAGCAAGATCTTTAGCTTACCAAAGGAAAAGCGCGTTGCTGAATTGAAAAAGAACAGGGAGTACATTATCAAGAAGTTGAACGATGACTTCCAGAAGGTGTGGTTTGGTCGGAACAAGGCTGGTCAGACCGTCGATCTCGAGGATATGACCTACGGCGAAGTTGTGCGCCGGATGGTAGATCTTCTCTACGTCAAGCACGAGTCACGATGGATTGACCCATCATTCACCAAGCTCACAGGTGATTTCATTCATCGTGTCGAAGAAAGGTTTACTCATGGTACTGGACAGCCCTCTTACTTGCAAAACTACTCAGAACTCAAAGAGCCATTTTCTGCTATTGAGAGGATTCTTTCTCACTACCCCGAGGCCGAGACTCAGATTATAAATGCTCAGGACGTTCAGCACTTCTTACTTCTATGCCAACGTCGGGGCCAAAAACCCGTGACTTTTGTTCCGTCTCTTGACGAGAATTTCGAGTTCTTCTTCAAGAAAGACTCGCTCTGGCAATCAGAAGATCTTGCGGCGGTCATCGATCAAGATGTTGGGCGTACTTGCATTCTTCAAGGCCCCACTGCTGTCAAGTACTCAACCGTGCTAGATGAGCCCATCAAGGATATCCTAGATGGAATCCACAACGCTCACATCTCTAACTTAACTCGGGATATATACGCCAACAAACCCGAAGCCATTCCTGTCATTGAATACTTCGGCGGTAAGCTCATCGATACCGAGGTACCATTGGATATCGAAGGCCTTATAGTGTCATACGATCAACACAAGAATACATACCGCCTATCATCATCGCCCGGTGTTGTTCTTCCTTCCGTTGACAGTTGGCTTGCGCTATTGGCAGGGCCAAACCGCAATTGGCGCCATGCCCTGTTCACTTCTGAAGTGTTGGTGCAAGGTAATAAGTACCAGACAAATCCAATGAAGAGAATTTTCGCACCAGTCCGTGGTCTTTTCGTTGAGATTCTATATCCTAATGATCCAGCTAAAACATCCATTATCGTTCGCGAGCAACCGCGACCCAATCATTACGTCGATGTGATTGAAGTCAAGCTTGATGGCAAGAGTGAAATCGTCGTTAGCATGATTAAGGATACCACCGCTCTCGGCCAGCCCGTGTCGCTACCACTCCGGTTTACATACCACCCTGAAGCTGGATATGCGCCAATTCACGAAGTCATGGAAGGACGAAATGACCGTATCAAAGAATTCTACTGGCGTGCTTGGTTTGGAGATGAGACTCTTGACCTCGACGTTCCCGTCACCAGCAAATTCGACGGAGGACGAACTACCATTACCAAGGAGGACATCAACGACTTTGTCCACGCTGTTGGCAACACCGGCGAGGCGTTCGTTGATCGCCCTGGCAAGGTCATGTTTGCCCCTATGGATTTCGCTATCGTCGTCGGATGGAAGGCCATCACAAAACCAATCTTCCCCCGAAAGATCGATGGCGATCTTCTTAAGCTTGTACATCTTTCTAACGGTTTCCGTATGATGCCGGGTGCAGATCCCTTGAAGAAGGGCGACGAGGTCAAGACCACAGCTCAAATCAACGCCGTGATTAACGAAGAGTCCGGCAAGATGGTTGAAGTATGCGGTACGATCTACAGAGATGGTAAAGCTGTTATGGAGGTCACATCACAGTTCTTGTATCGTGGTGTTTATACCGACTATGAAAACACCTTCCAGCGCAAAATGGAGACGCCAATGCAAGTCCATCTCGGTACCACCAAGGACGTTGCAGTCCTGAAGTCCAAGGACTGGATTCAGTTCGACAGCAATGATATTGAACTGCTCGGTCAAACATTAACATTCCGCCTGCAGAGTTTCTATAAGTTCAAGAATAAGACGGTCTACAGCAGCGTCGAGACCCGTGGTCAGGTGCTACTGGAGCTTCCTACCAAGGAGATTATTCAAGTAGCAAGCGTTGACTACGAAGCCGGTTCGTCTCATGGTAATCCAGTTGTTGACTACCTCGCACGACACGGTTCTTCCATTGAGCAGCCGATAAACTTTGAAAACCCCATTCCCCTCAGCGGCAAGGCCCCTCTACAGCTGAAGGCACCGGCCTCAAATGAGACATACGCGAAGGTATCTGGTGATTACAACCCTATCCACGTTTCTCGTGTCTTCTCCAGCTATGCCAACCTTCCGGGCACTATTACCCACGGCATGTACTCGAGTGCTGCAGTGCGCAGTCTAGTGGAGACTTGGGCAGCCGAGAATAACATTGGCCGCGTCCGCAGCTTCCACGCCTCGCTCGTTGGTATGGTACTGCCCAACGATGACATTCAAGTCAAGCTTGAGCATGTTGGTATGATTGGTGGTCGCAAGATTATCAAAGTTCAAGCGAGTAATGAGGAGACCGAAGAAAAAGTACTACTTGGAGAGGCTGAAGTGGAGCAACCGGTAACAGCGTATGTTTTCACTGGTCAGGGATCTCAAGAACAAGGCATGGGTATGGACTTGTACAATTCCAGCCCCGTTGCCAAGGAAGTCTGGGATAGGGCCGATAAGTATCTCCTAGATACATATGGTGAGTTTACCCCGTACCTGATCATAGGTGCCGACCTATTAACATGCTTTAGGCTTCTCTATTTTGAATATCGTGAAGAACAACCCGAAGGAATTGACTATTCACTTCGGTGGTCCTCGTGGTAAAGCAATCCGCGAGAATTACATGCAGATGAACTTCGAAACTATTGCTGCAGATGGTTCCGTGAAATCCGAACGCATATTCAAAGAGATAAACGAGAAGACAACATCTTACACGTATCGGTCACCCACAGGTCTTCTATCAGCAACCCAGTTCACGCAGCCCGCCCTTACCCTCATGGAAAAGGCCAGTTTTGAAGACATGAATGCCAAGGGTCTCGTGCCACGAGACAGCACCTTTGCTGGCCATTCCTTGGGCGAATACTCGGCCCTTGCCGCGTTGGCCGACGTTCTGCCTATTGAGTCCCTAGTTTCGGTTGTTTTCTACCGCGGACTGACAATGCAAGTCGCCGTGGAGCGAGATGCCCAAGGCCGATCAAATTACTCGATGTGTGCTGTCAACCCTAGCCGAATCTCCAAGACTTTTAGCGAGGGCGCCCTCCGATATGTGGTTAGTAACATCGCCGAGGAGACGGGTTGGTTGTTGGAGATTGTCAACTACAACATCGCCAACCTGCAGTACGTCTGTGCTGGTGACTTACGCGCTCTGGACACCCTCACTGGTGTCCTGAACTTCTTGAAGTCGCAGAAGGTGGATATTAACCAGCTTCGCCAAGACTTGAGCATCGAGGAAGTGAAAGCGCACCTCGTTGACATAATCAAGGGTTGTGCTCAAAAGACTTTGGAGAAGCCCACACCCCTAGAACTCGAAAGAGGGTTTGCTACTATCCCTCTTAAGGGCATAGACGTGCCATTCCATTCTACATTCTTACGGTCAGGCGTCAAGCCTTTCCGAAATATACTCCTGAAGAAGATCAACAAGACCTCGATCGATCCCGCCAAATTGGTTGGAAAGTACATTCCTAACGTAACAGCCCGGCCATTCGAGCTTACGAAAGAATATTTCCAAAACGTGTACGACCTCACAGGGTCACCTAAGATCGCGCAGATCTTACAGGATTGGGATAGTTATCAGGGAGACGTCAATGGTGTCAACGGTGTTAACTCACCTCCTTCGCAGGTGAACGGTTACTAAAATATGGGTAATATGAGGAGGCGCTGTGGTATTGAAAAACAATATCACGTTTGCGGTGTTTTGGACTTGTATTCATCAGCGCCTGTGCTACTATATTCACGACGTTCGGATGGAAAGACTTGGTGTTAGGTTTGTCCGCGATAGATAGATTTGGGATGTACCTAATTATCCAAACAATGAATTATTTAAGAATTTCAACATATCTCGACTTATCTTTGATATAATGCGTGATTCCAGTATATATATGTGATGTTGATCTATGAGGTTGTGGTAAAGGGAATTAAACGCCGACCTACATGAATTATGTATAACGGCAGCTACATGACGTTAATCTACAATGTAAATCCTATATGGGACCAGCATAAATCCATTCTTTTATATATGTAGGTCCTATGCATTTTATAGGCAGGTGGTGTGGTAGAACGAGTACTCTGCGTCTAGGAATTATCTGTACATAACATAAATCCGTCCGTGTATTCGAAATCCAACTTGGCCAATAACGAACACTAAGCGGAAGACTCAGCTTCACCTTATGTCTGAAACCCGGTAAAAGCTAGCCTAGCAGTCTTCCACGGTAGTGCAATCTTCCATCTAGAAGCCAGCCAGCATCCATCCACGCATCAGAATCGTTCCGTCCCGTCGCGTCCATGACCGCTAGATCTGTTTCGAACCGGTTCCGGTCAAATTTATTTCCAATCTTTTTTCCCGCCACAAACTACCGTAGCTTCATAGCTCGCCGTCTTCCACTATGCCCAGGTCGACGAGCTTCTTATACAGTATATCGGCAACGGCCTTCATGCCCTCGGCCCGCGGGTGGTACGCGCCGCCCGCGTAGAACAGCTTCCACGTGAAGCCCGAGACCCAGGGCTCCGGCGCGCCGATGGCATGGTCCTCGCTCGCCGCGCCGATGGGGACTAGTTCGGCCCAGGCCTCGCGGCCTCGGACCGCTTGGGCAGTCGCTTCTAGGAGCCGCGCGCACACGGCGCGGTGGTGCGCGACCCGCTCCTCGCTAAAGGGCACGTCGGCGCCCGCGCGCGTGTGCGTCCCCAGCATCGTTAGGTACTCGACGACTAGGACCTTGGCCTCGGGCGCCTTCGCGTGGATGGCATCGAGGACGCCGGCGTACCGCGCCGCCAGCCCCGCGACGTCGAGGACCGTGGTGGTGGAGGCGAGGGGTGCGCCGCCCGTGCCCTGCAGGCGCATGACGCAGGCGCCTAGCCAGGACGCGCTCAGCGTGTCTTCGAATAGGCCGCCGATGTACCCGATGTCGTTGCCGCCGCCGAGCACGAACACGACGTCGGCGTCGGCGGGCAACCCGTCGATCTGCGGGGGGAACAGGCGGCCGCCGCGGTCTTGCGGCTCCGTTGTTATGTTGGGCAGGACGGCGCCGGAGACGGCTAGGTCCGTGAGCTGGGCGCCGGCGCGCTTGGCTACCAGACACGCGAAGTTCGCGCCGGAGCGGCCGGCTGCTTCGTCCGCGCACGGCGGGATGCTGGGGCCGGCGGCGAAGGAGGAGCCGAGACTGGCTATGTGGAGGGGCATGGTGGGTGGTGGAGTGAGTGGTAGGGGATATATATATGTATACCTTATATGTATATATATAAGAGGTTATAGGTCTGCTAAGATGGATGGGGAACTGGAGGCTGTTACACGGGATCAGGGTTAGGGGTTACAATGTTGGTTGGCTGGCTGTTTGCAGTCTGCTGTTATAGGTTAGGTACCTAAGTTATCACAACAGCTTGGTATTGTCGATCAGGTCCCCCCTTCTCTTGGCCAAGGCCGGGTAGGTGAGGTGAGAGTAGATATCGGGAGGTTGCGTATGTGAGACAAGATCGGGGAAACGAACGCGTTGACGACAACGTAATGAATGGAGCCTTTCGGATGACGAGAGCGAGGGTCGGCTTCGGGGTTTTTCCCTCTTTTTCTTCTTCTTCTTGTTCTTTTTCTTTTAGAGGGGGGAAGTTCTGTTCCACGACATTTAGTGTTGCCGGTCCGGGGAGTTTCTATTTTCTATCTTGCCCCTCTTCCTTCTCTTGTCTCTTCCTTATTTTACTTTTATTGCTAATAATACTAATAATGCTAATAATATGTCGGATTTAATAGCCGGATCCTCGGTAGTTTCTGTCCACGTCGTGTCCCCGGTACCTGTGGGGGCCAATCAGGATGCGAGATACAGTATTATTCCCTGTTACACCGCTTCGGTATGTGACGGCTGGCCTTACGAATGCTGGATGCTGGAACTTGTCTTGTGGTAGTGGTGAGCGCAGTAGACTACTTATTCTTATTACTTTCCCTTCTCCAGATGATCTCGAGTAAGACAGTCCGATGGGCCGATGATTGTGTTATTTGTACTAGAGTAACGGTGAATTCTAAGCGAAGATGTAGGTTATAGGTAATGTTGCAACCTGCGGATGTCGTTTGAATTAAGCTATTAGACGTCATCGCCTTGTTGTTCTACTAGTCATACCAAAAACCCTTGAAGTATTACCATCGGTGCAACGCCATGCAAGACATAATAAAGGTGAGCTAGGTACGAAGTTGTTGATTTCTGCTTTCACTCGAGAGTAAATGAGCCACAGTGAAGTGGTTGTTCGGAGTTAATTACGCATGTCATCTTTGATACATTAGGTACCTTGTAGTTATATCTAATTATAAATTATAATATATAAAGAAGAGTATCCCCTTACCTAATACCAGACTTAGATGCGATAACTATAATAATCTATCTTATCTTGTCTAAAATATGTCGTCGAAAGCTGAACTAAGACATGGACTCGGAAGGTAGAGATAGCGATCGATAGCCTAATTCTCGGCGGGGTTATGGGGACTTGGAGGGAGAACACTAGGGGACTGGGGAATAGGACCAATAGGACCAATAGGAATGCGGCCCCCGGGTGCCGGCGTTGACCGACTTCCATCGGACGTGACCATAACGCTGTGTACATGTTATCCCTTAAGTCGGTATTTCAGGTATTTCAGTAGTAAAATTCTGGTACCTTCCGATCCTTGGTTTTTTGATGCAGGAACCACCAGTGGGATCTCGCCTAATCTATGTAGAAGACTGCCTTATCTAGTGTACCTAAATTATCTAACCTTATGTACCTACCTTGGGTGTGCCTACCTTACCTAAAGTAGTATACCTAGGTACCTAACCTTCCTTGTTATCACCAAGTACAAACATCTTTTCTATTTCTATCCCTCTCCCTTTTACATAAAATTAAATTCTCCGTCGGCGATACACCTCCCTATCAACTTCGGTTACGTCACTTGCATCGTGTCACAAAACTTGGCTATCTACCTAAGGTATCTATCTAATTCATCCATGTTGAGATCCTGGGTGCATAATTCGCTGGGTTACGCGTTTGGGTTAAGCATTGGGCGGAACTGGTACACTTGAAGGAGTATTAATGGAATTACATGATATCTCACCACACTACTCCTAATCACAACGGGGGATTTGAAGAACTAGCAAGGGCTTATTTCGGGCTTTGAAAATAAGACCAAACACCTGCGTTTGGGTTATATCAAGGAAAAGAGGGACAAGTCAAGAAAGGTCAACCAAGAGAACAACGAACAACTTACCATGGCTCCCCTAGGGAATGAGAAGAACCAGCTATTCCTGGGCTTGTTCATACACAGCGTTAAGCTCGGCGAGCTCCAATATCTGCACGACACCGCGGTCTGCGTGGACAAGTCTGGCAAGATCGTTGCTGTCGAGCAGCAGTACGATCAGAAGAAAGCCGAGGAGATTTTATATCCCAAGCTAGGCTGGGAAACAGACGATGTCACCGTCACAGCAGCAAAAGACGGCCAATTCTTCTTTCCTGGGTTTATTGGTAAGAATACCCCCGCCCCTTTTCACTTAGAGCCATCCCTTTACTCACAAGTGACAGACACCCATATTCACGCGCCGCAGTATCCTAACGTGGGTATATTCGGCAAGTCTACGCTCTTGGACTGGTTAAACACTTACACTTTTCCCATGGAAGCATCCCTCTCCTCACTCCCTAAAGCTCGCAGAGTATATACACGCTGTATTCAGCGAACCCTAGCCCACGGCACCACCACCGCAGCCTACTATGCCACAATCCACGTGCCGTCCACAAACCTCCTCGCGGACCTATGCCTTTCCCTAGGCCAGCGCGCCTTCGTCGGCCGCGTGTGTATGGACAACCTCGGTCCAGATTACTACCTCGATGAATCACCCTCACAGTCCCTAGCCGCGACACGTGCCACCATCGACCACATCCGCAGCATCGACGCGGACTTCGACCTCGTAAGCCCGATTCTAACGCCCCGTTTCGCGCCCGCATGTAGCGTAGATGCCATGACCCAGCTCGGCGCTCTGCACCAGGAAACCGGGCTTCCGATTCAAACGCATATTGCGGAGAATGTTGACGAGCTGAAGCTCGTGCGAGACATGTTTCCCAACAGCAAGCACTACGCCGATGTGTACGACCGCTTCGGGTTGCTAGGCAAGCGCACGATCCTCGCACATGCGATTCACTTAAGCGCGGAGGAGGTCGACCTTGTCGCGACCCGCGGCTCCAAGGTCTCCCATTGCCCCTGTAGTAACTCCGCGCTGACGAGCGGCGTGGCACCTGTGCGCTGGCTGCTGGATAAGGGGGTTGGCGTAGGCCTCGGCACCGACGTCAGCGGCGGATACAGTCCCAGCGTACTCTATGCCGCGCGCCACGCCGTCCTCGTGTCGAATCATCTCGCTATGCCGCCACGGGCCGGGAAGAAGCACCCGAACCCGGAAGCCGATACGACTCCTAAAGATGACCGCGAGCTAGCCCGACTAAGCGTCGAGGAAGTACTGCACCTAGCTACGCGAGGCGGTGCCGAAGTTGTCGGGCTAGGAGATAAAATCGGCGGGTTCGAAGTAGGCAAGGAATGGGACGCGCAGCTAATCGGGCTCGGGCTCGTTCCCGAGGAAGACGACGGCACGGAATCAAAACAAGACGAGGAAGACCAAGGCCAGGGCCAAGATACCGGAAACGTGGATATCTTCGGCTGGGAGCGATGGGAAGACCGCGTCGCGAAGTGGATGTTCAACGGCGACGACCGGAACGTGAAGAAAGTCTGGGTGCGCGGACGGCTTGTGCATGAGCGAAGATAGAGCGAGCGATACCTGGCGCGATTCGCCTTAGCTTACATTAGATAATGTGCGATACATAGCTGAATATATAGACAAAGCGTGTTTATACATACATACCTACCTACCTACATACCTAGACCTACCTATTACTTTAATTCGGTATGCTATGGTACGTGTATGTATACCTCTATTCTCTCCTAGGGTTTATAGACAGTCGCGATAATTGAGGGGAAGACGCCTACTTGATAAATAGGTACGTATTATACGCAACAGCCTATGCATTTCGGTACGAGCAAGACATCTCGCTCCCGAGGAGCTTGTTCGGCACTGCAATGAGCAAGCACGGGTACTAAGAGGGACGATAAAATCTCTAAAACACACAGCGCATAGTGGTATCGTCAATGTAACTAAAGCAAAGCAGTTATCCACACGAAAGCTACAGCGCATCACAACGCGCTATGTGGCTCATTAGCATAACAAGTGCTATGTAGTACCTCGTACCAATGCCGTAGCTAATATATCACATCATCCTTTTCCTGTCTTGGGTATAAACGTATTCCTTCATCTGTACAAAGTATAATAAATCCTTCGGTGGAAATCACCGCTGTTCCGTAATAAACACATGCTCAAATGGGCAAGATGACTGCCGTCAATGGTAGTATAGGCCGTGTCCTAATGTGTAGAGTTGTTGGCCCGTAGCAACTCATATATGCTCTGGTCGTCCGACCCAGACCCGTAGCTGTGCCCGGGGTAGTTAGACACGTTAGATCTGTGGTTGCTATACGCGGTCTGGTTCGAGCTTGCAGTGCCGCCGTAGCCGCTGCTTCGATTACTGCTGTAAGCGTTTTGGTTTGCACCGGCACTACTATTATTGTTATTGGCACTAAAGCCGTACCAGCTTTGCTGGGGTTGCTGATTCGTGCTCGGCTGCTGTGCTGAGTAGGAATTATACGATTGAGACTGGGATTGGGTGTAAGGGGTATTCTGATGGGAAGTCCGCGACTCCGCAGAACTTGTGCCATAGTTATTAGAGGCAGATGCAGTAGCCGATGCCATAGGGTAAGTATTGTTTGTTTGTGGTTGGGCGTGCAGCTGGCTACCTCGAGTTTGTGAGGTGGACCATTGAGGAGTCGCAGTACTGCTGCTGGTATTGCTGTATCCGGACGATGAGTTAAGGGCTTGGGAGAGAGGGTTCGATGAACTTGTAGTCCGAGGATAATCATATGCCGGCGCTGAGGAATAAGACGCCGACGTTACGGCAGCTGTGTGAGCCTGATACGAGCCAGGTTCATACGCAATGCGAGTCGAGCCCTGGTCGTTGTTTGAATTATTATATTGGCTATTAGTTGTGTTGTCATAACGTGGATAGGGGTCATAGCTTGGAATCGAGGCCGATGCAGTCGTATTGTAGGATGTACTGACAGCGGCTTGCGGGGCCTGCGGAGGAGGGCGAGATGCGGATACAACGGGCGTATTAGTCTGTGACCTATGGTCTTGTCGAGACTTTGCGCGAGTTGCAGTCTGGTATGGTGAGCCTGTTGCAGGCGACGGTTGCCTCTGATTTTGCGCTGCGACCTGTGATATGGCCGGCGGTTGTCTCACACTGTCATTTGCCTGCTGTCTAATTTCCACGTCAGACTTACGTGACCTTGACCGCCTGGATGTTTGCTGCTGGGCCAATGTTGGCGACGCTGTAGTAGTATGTCCTGGTGTGGAGGAGGAATTCCAATTGGGGGCATGTTGCGGTATGGATGGCGGTGGTACTGGTGTGGGTATCGGTGCTTGCTTATTTTGAGTGGTGGGAAGACTACGTCGGTTAGATATGGGTGTGCTTTGCGCCTTCTGACTTGTTGCTGGGGCCGGTGGCGGAAAGGTTGAACCGGATGGGTACTGAGTCTGATGGGACGTTGACGAAAAGACTAAATTAGGAGACTCGGATTGGGTCTCACGAGCTTGAGATTCTGGGAACGTCACAGTTGACGTTGCCGTTGGCTTCGGATTTTGGGGAAATGTGAGGCCATCGGCATGGTTTTGGTAATATTGCGTTGAAGATTGTATAGAAGGTTGCGTGGTAGCGGGAGGATGCTCAACAGGTCCCGACAAGATGTTTGGATCTGGGATGAATTCTTCATTATCGGGATCTGGGATCGGAGGGGCAATAGCAGGTGCTTGATATTCCATTGGCATTTGTGTTGTAGTTGGCATTGGCAATGATGCCTCCTGAGATTGCATTTGGGCCTGGAACTCTTCTCTTTCTCCAGGCAGGTCGGAATCTTCATTTTCAACCACTTCAGCAGAAATTCCCGCTCTTTTCCGTCGTGGTTTCGGTGGTAAATAAACACATTCCACCTCAGCTGCGGTACAGACAGAACAAATGGGATGCTCTTTAGTGCACTATATTGTATTAGTATTAGAATTGTATTTGGTGATAAAATATAAGTTACCTTGAGCTTCCTGTCTCTACAAGTCTCACAACTCCCGCGTGTTTTCTTGGTTGTTATCTTGGTTGTTAGTTTTAGAGTGGAAGTCGTTGTTCCAATTTCGCCGCTCTGTTGTACTGACACTACCGCACCATCACCGATAGAAACTTCGCCTACAGCGCCGTCGGGCTTTTTCTTTCGGGAACGCCTCTTCTTCGTTGGCGTCTCAGTTGTTCCAGGAGTAGATACTTGGCCTGATCCAGTGGCAGGGGTTGTGTTGGTAAATTGTCTTTCTATGGGAGTTGGGTCGGCATCCTTATCATCTGGATGGACGATTCTTAACTTATCGGCGCCATGCTCGGCCAACAAAGCCAGTGATTTTTCCTGTAGATCTGGTGCCTGGTTCGCGAATATGTTGAACTGCTCTTCAGAGAGTGTCGCAGGGTTGATGTGCCTTCCATTAAGGAGATCTATGGCCATTTGCCTACGGCGTTTAACTTCATCGGGGGGAACATACGGAACCCACGGAATCACCGTAACATGTGCGCCACCATGGTTCACATCTTGTGGTACGGCGTTATTCTGGTTAATTTGGCCATCCCCAGAAGGGGGACCTTCCATCGGCGCTTCTGGAGCCTTTTCCTTCTTCCTTGAACGTTTCTTGCGGCTCCCTTCTTCGCCTTCCGCTGGCGGGGGTCGTTTAGCCCTTGGCGTTCTCTGGTTTCCTGTGCCGCCATTGTTGACGGGCGGGGGTGGTAGAGTGGGTGCTATCAGGTCTACCAACTGTGCGACAGTCTTGTGTATAAGCGTATGATCATATTTAATGATGACGCCTCTGGCGGATTTCGAAAAGGCAATCGTGAGGGTTCCGCGACAATCGAAGGCAGGACGAGCTATAATGAGATCAGCGGCTTATCTACGCAAGATTTTAACATTCATATTCACAAGCATTAATCGGATCCAAACTACCAGGCCCGCTATAGCTGCCAATTACATGTTTCTCGGTATTCTTCGCATTCGCGCGAGTCCATGCCTGCAGCGAGTCTTTGCAGATGTACGTGAAGGTCCAACCGTGTGAATCCCGAGAAACTTTTCGCACCGTCCATGAACTGTTGTCTACAATTCCCATCGCACCGATAATGTGCTTTGCGACAGCGCGCTGGAGAATAGGGTCATCGCTGGGTTGGTTCTGTACTGTTTCGAAGGCATTCACGGATTGGGTAATAGGTTGGTGGTGCGATTGTTCGGTAGGGTTGTCGACACCGTCAGCGGTGCCATTTTCGGCGTCTCGATTCAAGTGAAAGACTACATTATGTCGAAGCTCGAATGTAAAAGAGGCATGTTCTGCGCGCGTATCCGACGATCTGGAAGCGAGAAGGCGGTGCAGTCTATCTTGTACATCTTGAACAGAGCTGCAGACCAGATTGCCCCTGGTTGATTCCAAGAGGGCATCCATCCCGCCGATGACTCGAGGGCTGTTCTGCTATTCTCAGATACCGTCGGCGGAATTAGGCGCGATGTAGATGGTGCGAAATGAACCAAAATAGATGCAGGTGGGGAGCTTGACTAAACGCGTTGGAGGTCGCGGCTCTGGGGCGACTTGGTTTTAGGTACGTACTAAGGTACCTGAGGTATAGCTGGAGTACCTACGTGTGTACCTACCCGGTACTAGACCTAAAACCATAGGTGGATGTGGGCAGCGAGTAAGGTTCTAGGCAGTTGCTATATAGAGTAACATTTAGGTGCATGTAAGGTAATTTAGGTACCTACCAAGTACCTATATGCTGGAGGACGCGGGGTTGGTATGTATCGCTGGAGAATTACGTAAGGTTTAAGTATTCGACATTTGAACTTTCAACCTTCCATCATAATATTTTGCATTGATTGACTGACGGTTGCATCTATACTCGGATACTTCCCACTTTCAGTAATAGATGTGATTCCTAGTATAGAGGTAACATCGTTGTTGAATTGTTGTGATTATAATTTATGATTGCAGGATTAGGATCTGGCTATTATTTATATATGCGTACAGATGCCGGCAGCAACTTGCCTCATTGTATGAGTGCCCGAGTCACTGTAGCTACGGGATTGACATAGAGACCCGCGTGTGGCTAAATCCAAAATGAAGACTGGAAGTGAGTATAAAAAAATAGGAAACATGATTAGGTACCCAGTTAACCGAAGATCGTATCGGCAGGTCATATGCATAGGTACTTCCTAACCGTTGTTCTTCAAGATGTAAGGGTAATTATAGCTATTCTACCTCGATACACAGCCTCTTAATAGTGTGAAAGGGGGTAACTATGTATCTTGCTACTCAACTAAAAGTGATATTGTCCTCAAAGCCGAAACCAGGCCTGCACCTGGCCGCCATGAACGCCGATAGCTACATAATTCAAGTCCCTTGATTTATACATTATCTTCAATCCATTCCTCAAGTCTCTCGACAAGGGTCTTCTTCAACCCCTTCGAATCAATCCCTCGGTCGCTCAAAATCGGTTTCAATTCAGCCACTGTCAGTTTTGACAAGGTGCCTTGTTCATATCTTTCCTTCAGTTGTGCGTTATTCATCCCTGTACTACTAGCACCCGCTTTCGTTGCAGTCGCTCTGGATTTCTTCGCTGCTGGCCCAGGCTCATCACTCCCCTCGTCAATTTCCATATCCCGCTTGATAGCTTTGGCATCTCTAAC